CCGAATTTTCTTATAAGTTTTTATGTGTATATATATTGTTAACATGTGTACATTTATTTGCACACTTAAGCTAACACGTCCGTTATGTTAATTGTCTGTGCCATTGCCAGTTACTCTAATTAATTGCTTTTTGTTTCAATGTCTTCTTTTAGCCTGGATGCTGGGCTGGCTGATGTGCAAGACAGTGCCCTACATACAGGGCGTATCGGTGGCTGCATCTGTCTATAGTCTAATTGCCGTATCGTTAGATAGGTAAGTGAAACATTTACTCACACTCCGGTTACAATTTTAATAATAGTCCTTAATTCTGCTGGCTGGTTGTTGCCAATAATGGCGCTAGTATTTGAAATTCAAATCAGCTCCAATAACGCATTTTGTGTAATTAAATGTGAAGAAATTTCCAACTACATAAATAGAAGTAAAAAGTGAAAAAAGCACCGCCTGAGAGACGTGAATTAGTTTAGCGAGTAGAATTGTGATAATTATTTGGGTCAACGGCCTAAAAGCATTTTTCATAAGAATTAACAAATTGCAAAGGTTACATCAATGGAATATATTATTTAATTTCGATAAGCGGGGGTTGAGCTGAAGAATCTGACATATCTTCTTATTCTCCTTTTTTCTCAAAATTAACTATAGTTTATGATATATGGGGTTGCCATAAGAATCCTTACACATCTTTCTGAACTTAACGCCTACTAAGTGACGTGCTAGATGTAAGAGCAAATTGGAGATCGAAAATAACCCTCTCCACTTAATTTTCACTGTGTTTCTCACTGATACAAACACAAATCTCTCAAGCAAAATGTGTTTATCACCATGCCAAATCTCTCTGTTTGATCTTTTTGTGTTTTCTGCTGTGGGTTATTTATCAATTGCTTAAATTACCCTTCCGCAAAGACACTTTGGCAGGGACTTTTATTTTTAAGTGTATTCGTTTTTGGGTTATTAAAAGACAGACAAAAATATAAGTGGATGCACATAAGTGGAAGAAAGGCGTTAGGCATACTTTACACGGCATATATGTATTTACTACATGTACATACATGCGCGATTTATGACACAGAAGAAAGCGTGCCCATTCATAATATGATACACTGTAAATAAGCTATTTTATTTTATTTTTTTTAAGCATTTTTTCGTACATATACACCAGGGACACAAATAACCCATTCCCACTGAGCGAGAGCACACATCTACAAAAAATAAATCACCTGTTCTCTGTTGTGGGTTATTTTTATTTTAAATAGTAGGAGTTATTTTGGGACACTTTCAAAGTTTAAGGGTTATCTCCGATCTCTGGAACAAACAATTCTCTCAAGGCACTTACATTTCAATGCTTATTAAGAAAATCTCACTAGCTCGCAGGACTTTATTCAAATTAATATATTAATCCCAAATAACGTCGATTGAATGAGGCTTTGGAGTACTCAGTATCGATACTTCTAAAAATGTGTTACTGTCGATCCTTTTGAGAATCGAGTTCTGAGTACTTTTGGTATCGATACTGCCCAACGCTAAAAATTACAATGAATTCGTGAGAGGAGAATCGCTTTAGAAAAAATATGAAATACCCAATCAAGACCAGCATAAATAAGAAAGGAAACTGACTGGACATTCTGCATTAAGCTTTTTTCTTCTTTACATAGGAGAATTATCGTATCGATCAAGCTTTTTCTTCTTCTGATTAATTCGTTACCAACCTTTTGATCGATTTTAGCTAAGTTTAGCCCGTATGTAATGACATTCACTCTTTACAGCACTCGAAACTGCGCGGCTTCATCAGAGCACTAGGGCTGCACGAGGTGTTGTGATGAGCTCTGAGGGCACAATGGATCTATGGTGACGGTGCACATCTTCCAACAAATTTATCTATCTGTGTAATGAATCCCAGTTATTGGAAGAGAACTAACCGTATTATAGGTTCTAGCACATCAGAGTTCAGTATCTTTAACCTGAATCTGTCTAATGTGTCATTGAACCCGTCTGTTATATTTGATGCACGCTCACGCTCTTTGAGCATGTTCATACTTCCGCTTAAAAGAAACTAGCGTACCTCCTCAACGAAAAACCCTGCTCAGAGCCAAACTGAGATTTGAATTCCTGCGCAGTATCCCTAACCCGGTATTACGACTGCAAACCTTCCAAGTAACTCAACACTCGGTAAAGCATATGTAAGGGGTGTTAGCAAAGATGGTTTGAGGGGGCAAAAGGTGGCTGGTTGCTGCGGCCGCCGAGCTCAATTGTTTAAGACAAACGTCATCTGTAAGTAGGTACCACCTTGCCACAATCGCGATCGATACTCTCCAAGAAAAAAAAAACTTATTTTAACCCTACAGCAACGCCTGTTTCCCTGCGTCATAGTCAACTTTTAAAAGCGTCGGTGCTATATTTTATACAAATACGTTTCTAAATCCTATCGTAAACCACCAAAGTCTGCAATAATCCAAAACACTTCAATATATTTCTCGCCGAATGAATGAATTGGTTTAAGACTACCCTAGAAACAAAGTAACTAAATTACATAGTTTTCTAAGTCGCCAGCAATGTATCCAAAGTTGAGTGCCCGAAATTATTCAACCGTCAACCAGCGCAATCCCAATGTGCTTCTTCAATTCTGTTTTCGCTTTCGCCAAAAGGATTCCTGCGAATATCCTTCGCCACATATCTACATACAAATATATACACACATCCTTCCTTTCCTTCTCAGGCATCCGCCCACATTTCTCTTTCGCTGTGCCTCACGCAATACATTATTGCCCGTCGCACAGCTTGCTAAATGATTTTCACGATTTTATTGTTGTTTTGCTTCTTTTATATTTTACTAATTTCGGGGATTTTTTAGAGGGGTGTACATACATACTATATAAGTAGTTGAAATAGGAAAGTGAAAGGAAAGGTTAGAGGTTGCTTGTAGTCTACATATTAACGCGTTGCGCCATTGTTGCATTCGATTAACTTGAGTTGTGTTTTCGTTGAGTTGTTGGTCTTAAGGGTGGTGGGACAGCAGCCGCATTGTCGCCGGAACAACTCAGTGATGCACTACGACAGCCGGATGAGCATGATGGACTGGAACTATAGGCACAATTGGTTTTACGATCGGCGCTACTGGTACCACAGTCTTGGCAATAACTGGCGTTACAACAGTCTTTACTGGAACGGGGTGATGAATTACGTGACTACAATAAAAACGGAAAAGAGCTTAAGATTTCGGAATGTGTACAAGCAATAACAAAGGAAAGAGAAAAATCAACGAAATAAGACTTAAAATGTATCTTATTTATGTATTTATGAACAGCTACATATAGCTATTAATTATTTCGATATTTCTTTAACATCCTATCGAGACCACTGCTAAGTACCCGTACTTACGAGTGAACGGCATGTGCGCCCGAATGATGCACAATCGGTGCAACGGGCACTGCTGGAGCCACCACGACGCCAGGCTCGGCGCAAGCGAATGCGATCAGTGAGAGAACAAGCACCTAGGAGAACAATAAATTTATGCAGTTGTAATTAAAATAAACTTTTTTAGTTATCATTTTATCTTATTTATACTTACGATTTTGTACATTTTGGTATGTGAATTAGGATTGGGAGTAAATTTAAAACAAATAGAAACTATTTTAAAGTATTAAAAGGACTATGTTGTTATTGCAACTGAGGGATTTGTATAACTGTTGTGAGTAATCAAATTCTCAAATGCTTTTATACAATTTTGACGATATTTTTATTTGCACTGAACTGAGATTAAGTAAGCAACAAACTGGATGACCGCAGTCAGTGTTAGAACTAGAAAGTTGCTAACAAAGTAGCGGCGATAGCGAAGGTGGCGCGGCATATTCGTACAAAGCATTTACATTGGTATGTAGTTCGTTTGCACCAAGCAGATTGGCGCTATTCATTGAAACTTGTCAAAAAGTTGCACTTGACAACTGTGGAAAAACTCTCAGTAAAGCTAAGCGGCGACAGCAGCGCAGCACCGGCGCCAGTTTTGGCTTTGTCGCATAAACATTAATTCATACGCATGAATTACTTATACATAATATAACCTGACAGGCGCCGCTCGCTGCCACAAATTCATCTGGTTTGCTGCGGTGATTTTTTTCTTACCCTCTGTTATTGATAGCTAATAAGATCAAGTTCAGCATTTTCATAAAATTTGTTGCATTTCTAGCACAGTTACTACAGCTACTACTGGCAGTTAGTTCGGTCGGTGTTTTTTCAGTAGTAGTCACATGTGCGGTAGGTAGATTAATACTTAATTAAGTTGTTGCACTTGTTTTCGCATGCACATAAATATCAATATTTATATTTTCAAGTATGTATCAGTATCACATGAATGCTTTAATGGCGAGGAAGGAATTCAATTAAAAATTATGATATCAGTTGAAATTGCTCAAATAATTAATTACTTACATAGTTATTAAAAAAAATTTCTGAAATGTTTCTCAAACCGTTCTTAACTTGATAAACAATGTCTGAAAAAAAAAATTAGAAAACTTGCAGTTTCAAATGATAAATAATGCTGAAAACTAAATTGAGAAATAATATTTTCTCAAACGTTTGAAATTTTTTTTTACGCATTCGCCGTGGCGTTAAATATTTCACGCAAACATCAATTAAGAAAATGGCTTCTAGAATACCATGAACATATCTGACCCTTTGAAGAGTGCTCGATTCTTCGATCCATTATATTTTGTATTGAATGACCAGAGTTGCAAGACTTTGGGATCCAGCTTTGCAGGAAATTATTGGAAAATGTACCAGACACGCACCGACACGTCTACTGCAATTTTATCTTTTACATGTTCTCCATTTTTTTATATGTACCTTGAAGTGGCATCTATCCATACCATTTTATAAAGTATTTTTTTGCATTAATTATGAATATTATAGATTCTAAGTTTCAAACAAATCGGGTACTAAATAAGACTTTTAGAAACATCTCGTCTCTGGTGCCACCAGCGACAATTTTTTTTTTTCTTTACGTAGCTAGTAAGTACATATAAGATTTTTAGAGATATATTACCTCCAGCGCCACCTATCGAAACAATTTTAAGACATAATCGGTGCTTTTGCTGAATCCCCCACAGTTCGATTTTCGTGAAATCTAAGAAAACGCAATTACTGAAGCCGAGCTCCTACCAACGCATAACTCAGAAGAAAAAGTCTAACTTGCGCAACCTATTTGAAAACTAGCATTTAACCTTGGTTGCGTACATTTGGAATTACAATCTACTGAGGTTTAGAAATAAAAGAGACTGATGCTTTGTATTTTGACGTTTAGGAACTTAGCCTGTATGAGATTTGGCTAAAGACTTTATGACCCGAGATATTTCTACCATCTTATCATCAATGCATCACATTCGAGGAGTAGGTGCTCAGACCAGGCATTCCTCGGTCCGCAAGCAGTTATAGCACTTCCACCTTCGGCCATCGGAGCTACCATCAGAAACTGGGTGAATACTTCGCTCAGCAATAACTGGGAGACATCGAAGGGCTGCGGGTGGGCAAAACTCATGTTGTCTTCAATTTCAGAAGTTCTATTTAGTTTTTTTGTGCGTAATGTAGCCTGACTGTTGTTTTCTGTACACGTCGTTTTGTGCCTGGTTCCGACAGAAAAAAAAAA